TATACTAAAATACGAAGATCTCAAATATATCACTGATTTCTAAATTCCATTAAATAAACACATCGTATAGAAATTGCTATCCCCTCGTGGTCATGACTTTTCATCTGGTATCGCATATATGTAATGATGAAAGGCTGGTAATGGTGCAAAATATTACCAAAGATTATAGTCCAATTTTTACATTCTTTGCCAACCTTGAAGGGTTGTCGGTTTCAGATTACAGTAATTACGCTATATCTATATTGGACATTTTGACAAGGTTTGCATCACTTCAGTTGGAAAGTGTGTGATAGTATTGTGATACTATTGATCAGGTAAAAACATTGATCACTTCAACCTAGCTATAGACACTGAATGCCGGGCTGAGATATGACTACTTTGAGATATGATGTGGAAAGACACCACCTCCTTTACACCTTGTTCAGATTCGTAAGATTCTAAAGATTGTATTGTAGGTCAGATCTTCTTCTTCCAATGTAATGGTATACAGCGAGCTTGGAGCTCTATTTCCTAACTTGGGGCGTTGTTATCCCCTATAACGTATTGGTACTAGGGTGCCAGGGGTGTGACCAAATGTTGTTTAGAAGAGAATAAATATCTTTGGGGATGTACATGGTTTTAGTACTTCTGGTGCATGTTTTTCAATAGATAGACGTGAAACAGCAACAACCATTGATCAAAACTAGTCCGGAAGGGAAGTATTAAGCTTAGCTTGAATGAAAAATTATAAAATATATAAAATTATAAATTTTCTTTTGAAAGATTTGCATTTGGGTTCAGGGGTTTAATGATTGCTTGTTGGGTGTCAGGGATGGAAAAGGTTGAAATCACTGCATTAGAGCCCCGAATCAATGTTGGTGCTTTTCTTCATCTTGAAATCATAAATCATAAATTGGCATACGTAATAATAATAATATCCAGTAAAATGTAATGGAAACACTTGAGGAAGTATGTCTCGTATACATACGACATATGGAGCTGCACCATTTTGGGGGGTTGAATATATGTAAATAGTCTTCAAAGGTACTGGAAACGTATGCATAATTCTTTTAAATATTCCTCAAACTATGACTTTTACTCACTATTTCTATGCAGACATTCCGGAAGGAAATCAGCTAAAACATCAGTTAGTTCTAGTGATCTATATATCACAGAGTATTTTAAAATGGCGAGTCGTCATTATAGCATTCAAATGCGGATAATTCTGGACACACTTGGATTTGAAGGCTCAAATTTCGACGGCGAGCTGTGAACACTATTACTGATTGGCTAAGCTAAAAATGATTCCGTTGCTGAGACTAAAGTATGATTAGTCAAAAAGAATGGCGCAACTTTCCCTTTAAGTCATTATTTTTATTACGTGTTGACGATCTGTACATACTAACCTGAACATCCAATATGAATATTTGTAATTATGTTTAATTGTAAATAATATTTTTGTAACAAAACTTTTTGACTGGAACCAGACCCAATAGATCTCCCACATACATTAAGGATTCATGCTGTAGAAGCCACAGGTTTTCTATAGAGTTAGGAACTTTTGTATAATATAGTTATGGGAAAGCGTGTTTGCCCAGCCGGTGATACCTAATATTATGCCAATACCTTCGTGTTTAAAAATATGTAAAATCTATAAAATTAACAGTTTAAATAATAATGGAATTAACTAGGTTTAAAATTACATGTATATTGAACAGTGCAAATTGTTGAATATAGAAATGTCTTTCTATTGTATTTATGATTATATGATCTTTGTTCTATTTCCATTTCCCTTATCTTCATTTATAAAAATGGAAATGCTAATACTTATCTGGATAGAAAGTAGAGGTGTTCTAATGACTTGATTAAGAATTCGCTAAATTAGAAGAGAATTACCAGCAAAGTTCCAATGAGTGACCGATCAAGAAAGGTCAAAAAGTCCGGTTTTTATTGTTTATCCAGACTGTACATACATGGACATTTATGGTTGGTTAAAACCATATGCAATAAGAGCATAATGATATGATTAGGAATACATGATTATTCATTAGAAACACCAATAATCAAATATTTGTTTAATTTGACACTAAAGAATAAGGAAACCCATCTTAAACGAAGATTTGAGTATTACAGTAAAAATAATATTAAAGCTTACAGTCAAGGTTATATACGCCCACTGGCGGCTTTGATTTGATCTTCCAATTTATAACCAAATCTGTCTTAAAAACAGAACAGATAGGCTAAGTTTTTATTGTCAAAGTTTCTTTATTCTCAAAGTTTCTTAACTTTTTAATTATATCCTATCAATTTAACAAGTTTCATTGCAGAAACATCAGAGAACATCTTTCCCCCTTTTGTTTAAAGCTCCCCCCCCCCCCTTTTTTTTTTCTTTCTCCCTCTTTTCTCACATTCTTTCTTATTATCTTATTTTTTCAGGTCTTCTATTTTTCCAACAGTTATTAGATAATCTAGCCAAACCAAACTAAACCAAACCAACGACTACCATTCGACTACAATCCACAAGAAATACCATGATCAGAACGAGTTTGGAAGAATGAAGGAGATCGAGTAACTCACGCCACACCATCCAGGGCCGAGTTTCACCGCCATGTCATTTGACCCGACCAGATCTAACGAAGAATCAACAACCAAACCAACAACACAGAATCATCCAATTTGAACCAATCCAACTACCAACTTTACGCTGAAAGCGTACGTTAACTTGTCATCTACAAACCAACCAACTAGTTTTAATGTGGTTGAAGGAAATATTTCTCGATTCTGACGGCCTACCGAGTTGAATCTCAAGATATTTTGTGAGTTCTTGAAGGAAAGATACACAAAGCAAGGTTCATCTATCATGCACTAAAGATGAGAAATATTTCTTCCAGTTAATATATGTGTATAAGTATATTTCATGAATTATTTATGTATCTATTTAATCTTCAATTATATTATCAAATTGTATATTTGTATATATTCAGACGTATATACATTATGTAAGTGATCATCTCTAAATATAATATTTATTTCGGATTATATTGCACGTGTACATGTATTCTCTGATTTCACCTTAATATGACAATTATTATTTATTAACTTTAACATTGTGGTAATTATGTTCTTCTTTGGGTCATTGACTCTCAAAAGTAATATACAATCATTATCATATTACATTTGCATCTTCCGATTTAGATATAGATCAATACTAGGATGGTTTTGATTAGATCAATCTTCACAAAGTTTTTGTATTTTTTATTTATTTGTTTTTTGAGATGTTTTAATCTAAAGCAGAAAAAATCAATTGAGATTTAATACATTATTTCATTTTTTTAAGTGCAAAGTTCATCAATGACAATTATTGTATTACTAGTACACAAGTACTAGTACTTGTTCTGTTTAAGCCTGCTGAGGGCATTTAGTCACACCGAGGCGAATTCACAATTTAATATCAAAGGGACTGTACTACTGTCTTAAAAACCACAATTGATAACTAATCAAATATATGACAGTGATGGGACACGGAATTACTCTGCTCGTAATTCTGCTCGTAAATGCTGCGGACAGACGACCAGTTTTTGAACATCAAAGCAGTTTGATATTTGTCGCCAATTTTTTCTTTGTCGGTGATTGTTTTCTTTGTTGACCACGACGAAGACTCCACAAAGCAACATCATCCAATCAGATTCATTTTCACTTCAATTCCGTGATCAGATCGTGCTTATCGCCATAAGATGTTTGTCTCCTCTTGTTCCTGCAGACGGTCGTTGAAACTCTTGACAAGATTCTAGTCGCCGACAAAAATTTTCGACCAAAACCAGTTGGTCTTACAGACGATGAAATTATCGGAGTCAATTATTAAACTTTTGATATTATAAATCCTGTTGGCAACAAATTAATCTTGTCGTGGAAGCACAGACACACTCGAGATTTTACTCGATTCGAGTCTGTTCATGTGCCCGCACCTTTAGACTTCTATTTTCCTATAACGATCAAATACATATTTTGTTTTTTTTAAAGTTTTAAGGAACTTCTGTTTATTTGTATTTCATTTATTTTAACAATAAGTAAACTATTCAGTACACAAGGGACATAGACATAACAACTTACTTTAATTAACTGCTTACAGTTAATGATGAAAATACAACAAAGCGTATTGTTCATGTGTTTTCGTACTGTCTAAACACAGTCTTGAAATAACATTTGGTTCTTTTTCTTCCTATTGTGGGATCAAACTCCTCCATATGAAATTTTCGTTAGCTGCTACCAATGTATTGTCAAACTATTAATGTTAATTTCGGGTTTCGTTTAGCGGTTCGGTTCGTTAGCACTAGTGTTTTTATTCGCAAATACATATAGTCATAAAACATATAAGTTGTATAAGCGTTTCGAGTGTGGGGTGTCGGGGAGTTCATTTATACTAGAGAGATAATTTTTAAATTTTGTGGGACACTTTGTAGTCTAGCATAGAATAGTTTTGACAATTATGATTAAAGTTGGGTTATATAGATGATAAAGATCACAGGGAAAGAGAAAGCATGAATTAGTAAGAATTTTTAAAGGCAAGGGGCTAATGCAAGCGATCAATGGTAATAGAAGAAAAAGGTTGAAAACCACTGATTTATATTCAAGATAGATGGAAACGTGACACCTCTTTAGGTCAAGTTGTATGCCAGATGGTTAGAACGTTGGAATCATAGCCACATAAAGGCGTATCTTTTGCGATAGTTGTTACAACATTTGTAACGTCTTTTCTGGGATGAAATAGTCAATAAGCCCAGAAGTGGTATCATTTTATTCTATTCCAGATGTAACATTTATCACAATTTACTGTACTAATCACAGGTAGGGTAGTCGTCACGTCATGTTCCACTTCAACAAACACTTTGGACGCATAGTTTTGTTATTTGGGCTACTTAGAAATATTTAATTTTAAGAGTCATATTAAAATATTTCACCGTCCGTAAATTTGAACAACTCTTTTTAAAGCTACGCACCTAACCTATCTGATCTCGTATGTGTCACCCTGGACATACTTGACCATCATCGTTTCTTCCATTGTAATTGACGACCTGACAAATGTGATATGTTGGAGGTACATCGGGGGTATATATAATGTGTAAAGCCACAACGATACACTACAAAACAAAGAATTCTTGAAAGTGATGGAATGGAATTTCACAGAAGTTCCGACATAGATTTTTGAAAGAAATGGTGTACTTTAACTGATTAAATAATATCACCGGATATAGAATATTTCATTGATGCCACATTCTCTTGATGCTAATCCCATCTACATATACCCCCAATCACAGTCAAATAAAACTAGGTCATCCTTTTCAACATCACAGCTACCTGTATGATTTTATCTGTCTGTTGAAATTGTACCAACCAGTGTATATTAGCTTCAAAAACAGAATCATTTCGCTTTCCATTTGGATTTGCTAAATTACAATTAGGACCATCTGCAAACCACCATCCACCTTTAAATCTGTTTGGACAATTGTTATTCGTGCTGTCTGCATCATATGTTGAAAATAATCTGTTGACAATAGGTCTTGGATTTTGACTTAAATCAAATGCAGATATCACTCGGAAACTATTAGCAGCATTTGATATGCTAAAGTTGTGGTGAATTCCAGTTTTTGTCTCTGTTAAAGATGTCATGCGATAATAAAATTGGAACGATGGATGATTCTGTAGGATGTTATACACATGGTTAAGCCCAAGCCAATATTCACTGTGTATGTAACCGAATCCATTAGCATACTCGTCCCAAGTTTTGGTGAAACTGACTTCGCTACAATTATTATCTCGGGATTGGATTAAAGTAGCTTGGAATATACCTGGTTTATACACACATTTAGCTTCCAATATAACTCCATTACTAGCTGGTCTGATGTACGACTTAATAAATGACGAAGCAGTTGATAAAGTCAAGTTTTGGTCGGAACAATCTATAAAGATAAAATAAACTTATCTGTTAACAAATATAATACACGTCCAGGACCAATTATAATACATTTTCAGGAATGATTCGTTTACATAAATTGTTTACGAACAATCTATAAACATAAATATATAATGCATGTTCAGGACCAATCTATAACAATACATAAAAAGGTTCGGGGCCAATCTATAATAATATAGAAAAAGCTTCAGGAACAATCTTTAACCATATATAACGATTTTTTTAAAAATATATTACATGTTCAGAAACAATCTATAGGCATAGGTTACATGTTCAGAAACAATCTATAAGCATAGAATACAGGTTCAGGAACAATCTATAAGCATAGAATACAGGTTCATGAACAATCTATAATAACATAATAATGAGTTTCTGTAACCATAAATAAAAAGTTCAGGAACTAAATTTTACAAAATATAACCATGAACGATACAAAATGTTTAAGGATTAATCTATATAAAAAAAACATATTCATATATATAGGGCAAACTATAAACATATATAAACATTTTCATGAACAAATAAATAATATATATAAATAAACGTGTCCATGAGTAATGTGTAATGACCAAAATCATGTTTAGAAGCAATAAATTATGTTCAGAGAAAAATCTATGAACATGGTTCAAAATCTTTGTCTTATACTTAATGCTATGAAATTAATACCTTGTATAATATGTTGACATGCATCACCATAATAACCAATGGGACATCTTACACAGTTTACTTCTGTACACAGCCACCTCTATCAAAAAATTAAGATGTAATATACCAATAAAATGCATTGGAAGGGAATTGACAAATATTGCTGCTCAGAAGACCAAAGACCTACCAATATTAAGTACTTTAGTTTTATAATATCTTTGCGTTGGTAATACAAACTATGAAGATGAGAAAAAAATTTATTTATAGGAGACAATTTCAGCCAATTTTTTTTTTTTACTATTTGAATAAAATTTATGTTATTATCAACTTATCCATTCTGATATTCAAATTTTAAAAAGTCGGCAAATTTCGATTTACCAATGAATTTGCCATGACAGTGGGTCTTTTATTCCCATTAATATTAATTAATTGAATTAAAATGAATATAAGACATGGTATAAATTTTAGCCATATATCAATCACACAGAGGAAAATGTATTGTAAATATTGTCAATGCTTATCTTACCTGTCTATAACAGCGCTTATCTCCAATATTTCCATCAGAAAAACAATTTTCACCAGATTCATATAAAAAACAATTTTTAGTTTTGACATCAAACATAAATCTCCTACAATTTAACGTTACCGAACATCTCAAACTACATTTTTTTACAGAAACTTCTTGGATTGACAACAGAAAATTATTAAATGCACTTTGATGACAGGTACTAGGTTCATAAAACATTGACGTTTGTATATAAGATCCAGCTTGAATTTCAAAGCACAAAACTTGAAATGGGAAAATCAAAATGTAAACTTGTAAATTGGCTAAAATCACCATGGTCGACACTAATATTTCGAAATTACGGATTTAATGTTTCCTGAAAAGATCGTCCAATAATGTACGAAATGAAAAATAAAATTCGTTATTAATATTCGATCGCAACAGAAAGTCGGCTTTCTATTGATTCTACTGCAAAAAAAGCGGTCGAAGTCTTGACTCCGGTCTTAATAATTCATTCATTTGAACGGACATATTAATAAAATCACCTTACAATTTGTTTTAATCATTTCCCGAAGAAGTAAGACATTAACTCACGCAAGAAAACTTTCAATTGAAAAAATTTTCTTATCGAGCGTCTTCCAGTCGTTAAAAAACAATACTGAAACCAATACACATTTCCCAACCATGCTGGAATCACCAGCAAAGACCGGATGACCTATCTTTAAACTTCCCAAAACATAGTGTGATTTCTGTACTAGGTGTTGATTGAACGGACTCGGCTTGTTATCCCACCAGTGATGCCGCGCTACCTGTTCTTAGTTTAATGAACTGTCTGATAAATTTATGCCTGATGAAATATTTAATTCTTTTGCATGCTCTCCAATCATTGGAAGTAATAATGGTATTGTAGGGGACTCCTCAAACGAAAACATTGACAAAACTTGGAGCAAAAAGCATATATTATATTTGTCTTGATTGGTTGGGTTTGCAATTGTACAAAGTCTTGTTCTGTTTCGTTTTTCTGGAATAACACAGGTCAAGGACATCTAAAGAAGAGCAGGCATGTCAAAAGTAGCTATCGATATGCCCTATTCAAATACATAGAAAACCTCTTAAATCCTTTTCATTGTTGTGCAACATTTGGACGTCAGAAAACTTTTTATGCAAATGATTGTATAGTGCTATTTTTGGAAATCATCTTTGTAGTCCGTGCTCTTTTTTAGAAGTCTCCCCTTTCCCCCTCCCTTTTGGGATTGTTGCATGCCTACATTAGGGTGCATCATCTGCCCCATTACTTTTTTTTATATTTCAAATTTATCTGTCCCCATTATAATTTGTTCCAATGCCCCTAAAAGATAATCATGCGAAGTTTTATGAAAATTGGAGAATATCTATGTGGTCCACTGGGCACCTAAAAGTATGATGTATCTTGACAAAATACAGAATAGTGTGTACATATTCTCGTTTCTGGACAACTCATTTTAATAACAAACTTTCAAATAAGAATCATCAAATGTAAGAAAACAAGGTACACACATAATTCAATCAATCAATTTTAATGGATTGCATAACTTCCAGCACTGCTTGTTTGGGTTGTGCTTTCTATCATGTTCCACGACTCGAACGTTCAAGTATTGTAGGCCTACACTTCTAGCAGACACGAGAGTCTCAGCTCAGTTTGATTTCTCACTCAGCGCAGTCATTAATTATGTTCAGAGCCTGAATGTGGCTCAGTGATTCCTGGTAGGCATCATGGTAAGCCCAGTAATCACAATACTTAAGGAAAAATGGATCAAGCTGTTGATACTGAAATATGAATCAAAAATCTAAAGTAGCCAAATCAGCTATAGTTGTTTGATAGATTGGTCTCCATGGGAGCCTAGGCTTGCAGAAACCAGTTCTAACACATTTCATTGGTCAAATAAGAACCAAATCAGCTAAAGATCATGCCATAGCCCGTAGACTGCAGATCTTCAGGTCATCCACCACTGGAAATAGAGTAGCGTTAGAAAGTTCACCTCAGGATAGCACCTTGATGTAGTTTCTATATCTTAAAGCATATTTCAATGGGGGATAATAATGCTGCACATAGTTCAACATACTCAAAATAGTCTCCGAAACATGTGTACCGACTTAGTCAAATACGTAGATGACAGTAACCTACCGTCTACTTCCACCTTATAAGATGGCTGTAGCATGCTTGTCTGCAATGGTCAAATTGTGAACATACCGTGCGTTGAAAACAAACAGTTTTGTACATCACGCATAGTACATCATATCCACACTTCTATCCAAGTCTATTAATGTTATCACATTGTTATGCTTATTAATCACTTTAGATCGATTCGCAAGTAGTTACAAAAGCAACAGATTATGTTCAGCCATCTTCGAAAAATTTGATTTTCTGTCTCATTTCTGTCATACCAATTGACTTCTTAAACTGACTTTAGTCTAGACTGAACTGGGCGTTTTTGAGTACACTCGCTGTGAGGTCTATAATTCATTCATGCATCACTGTATATATGCCAGGGTCGAGTTTGGAAAGATTCCGAAAGGCAGTAGCAAGAGCAAGACAAAGTGTTTGAAAAACGGTTGAAAGAGGAAGATATCAGGAGAATTTGAAACTTATTCTTCAAGTTTGTGAATACGCGAGACAGTAAAATCTGTCCAGCATAATACCAGCATGTCCATATTATGATATTCTTAACCCTGGTACTGCTGTTGTTTGGTAGTACTGAGAATTCACCATTCTTGTCTTATATTAAACACGTTTCATAATATGCAGTTACTCTGTTTGTACTTATCATTTTTACCCAACCTGTGTATAGCTTCTTTCAATCCCATTTTATGATATTCCGGTAGCAGGGCCGGTTCAGTCTTGAAGGCTTATATCTTAATTTAACTGAATAATCCTTACATGTTTTCTACCTGCTGAAGAACATCCTAGTTCACTTTTATCAAATTTGCAAGTTGATCAGACCTTTCAATAGGCTGACAGCCAAAAATCAATTACATATCACAATACAGCGCTTTGTTTATCATGTGTAACATTGCGAAAAAGCACATAAAAAGTGAAATATATGTAAATTTGAACCTTTAGGTGAACCACATAGGCATCAACAGAATTCCAAACGGTTATTAAGAATCATTATTAATTAGGCATTGGAACACTTTAAGACTAGGGACAAGACATTTGTGACATAAAGGGGCAGATAATGCACCCTAGCCTACATGTGACTACTTTCGGTCTATAATTGGAATTTGATGTTTGAAATTACATTCTTTCCGATTTTGGAAGATGATGAGGGATTTGCACGAGGAAGGATAATTCTAAAAATAGTCCTTCTAGGTGCAGTGACAGTCAAGCAGTTTACTTTCAGTTTGGCTAGCTCAAGATTTTCCTGGTCATGTTATATTGAATTGTTGTCCAGAAACTAATAATTGGCCAGGCTTTTGATGCATGTGATATATCGGAGAATTATCAACAAGATTTTTGGAGAAATTTATAGAAGGTTGAATTTCGAGATTTGACATGGAAACAGAATGATGGCAAATGAATTACCGGAGTCGTACATCTTAAAACTTAAATGGAGGTAAATCTACTTAATTAAGGGTTGGTAACTCGTCCGAGGCAAGTCGACTATGGCAATTGTAATCTATCTTGGAATATTTTTCGATGTCAAGAAGAGAATAGGCTCTCCTCATATTTTACTTTTTTTTCGTTTCAGTTGGGGATTTTTTTGTAATGGTATTGTATCTTCACGTAATATGATTCTTATTTCTTAATATAATGTAGTGGGTTTTGAACCTGTTTACACTAATATACAGATCGCAGATTGCATGAGTAACAACATGATTCTGTTATAAAAAAAAATTCTATATCGCTCTGTAAATGTACCGAACATTGTTTTAACAGTGAAAAACTTTCATTATTGTACCCTTATATACATACAAATATAAATATACAGCAAAGTACAAGAAAAAAATGATACAAAAATATAGTTGGGACACAGGCTAAAATTTTACAACGTTAAAACTGTACAATAGCAAACTATTTTTTGTCCATATTAAGATTGTACCTTAACTTTGTACTATTCATCACTTGTCTATTATCGACATGCTTATTCTTAAAATAAAATAAGGTGAAATCACTAAAGTTATAATTCCCTATAACAATTAGTTATGTCGGTTTGTACAGCAGAAAGGATGAGTATCCTTAACATATGCCGGAATTGAAGTGTGGTCCTGGGGTTGAAAGTGTCTAAAATGATGATTTGTGTATTTCTTACCAACAATGAATAATCCATCGACATTGATGAAATTGCAAAGACAAGATGAAAAGGGCTATTTTTGATATTTCATACATCTCGATATTACATCAAAATATTTTGAAGGTTGTCTCTTTAAATTGTTGAGGCTATTTCTCAATTGTCATGGAGGCTAACTGAGCGACTATAACTGTCGTTGCCATAGATACCATTCGGAAAATTCCTTTATAAAACCGATCGATGAAGGAACTTGAGTGTTTAAAGAACATGGTTCCAATATTGTCTTCATTTGGGCCAATTTTATTGATTAGAAATGTTCTAATTATAGACTGAGAGAAAGCTTGAGATCTTAATCTGATCTCTTATACGATAATTAACCAAATAACACTATTATATCTTCAACGTTTATTAAGTTATGTTCCTTTGAAATGAAACCATACAGCAGTGGTGGCAATGAAAAACCTAAATTATGTCACAGATTTCTCTTGGGTCTGTAGACCACTTAGATGAATATGATGTGGGAGACACTATTTGTGATATAGTAAACTAGAATATTGAAGATATATATCTGATATTTTAATTGCATATCATATTTGCATTGAATCTTAATGTTCAAAATGTAATATGGGTTATTCGCAATCTTGTAGCTTACAGGTTTAGCGAAATCTTCCATACAATTTAATAATAAATGGAAATTCATTTTCGAGCTTTATACTCAACCGACAATATGGTACTTTCTTTGCCGTTTATATTCTATCATTTGCAATCCACTTGGGTATATGAAGTTATTAAATTGGAATAATCTTTTAGAGCAATTCTGACAGTGAATGTACTGTTCATGACATGAGTGAGTAATAGCCCCGTCACACCGGAAAGGCGTCCTTACTGAGCTGCTACGGCGACGGAAAATTAGCTTAGAGTGTGTTAAGGTCGCCAAAAGCGTGGTATTAGCTTGTAGGAATCGTTCGGTGGGCGCTACTGTCGCCAATAATCGCCTTTGAGATCGCCAAGGAATCGATAATGTTTTAGACAAGCGTCGTAGCATCTCCATGAACGCAATAAAAGTCA